TTTAGTTCCGTTAGCGTGCGCCCGCGCGAGGCGGTTAAATTATATTTACATTTACCAGTTTAAAATTATCACACGTACACTTGCAAATGTACATTGCGCTGTCTTTCACTTCAAAAGATGCCTCGCTGCTTCTTTCCTCGCAGCCTCCATTTTGATACCCCCAATATTTTGGTCATACCCGTCAGCAGAAACGTTAAAACAAAACGTTCGAAACTGCATAATAACTTCGGAATCCTGGCTGGCCACTTATAAGAAAGAGCGCTTAAAACAACATCTACGCTTTTGTTTTGCTTTGTGACGGGTTAATTTTGAGCCGTGATATTTTGATTAATCTTTATTACCGGGCCCGACAAAGATCGATATTTGTTACGATCTGTTTCATTCGGTACCGACAAATCGGGTCCGACCTTCACCGGAATCGGAAAAACGGAAAGTTTCGAATTGACCTGGTAACGGAGGCACTTATGCCGATAGTTTGACGTTGTTCTTAAAAGTTTTGCAAAACCAAATTGTATACTGAAATAATGAGCATCGTACCCCATGACGGCATGGCCACCAAATGGTAAAGCTCCATAAGAAAGCACCATGCTACTTCAAAGAATGGTAAGGACAAATATTAGAGTGAGTAAGAAGAAACAGTCAATATTAAAAATCAAGCCAAATAGACAAAAGAAACAAACTGGTGAAATCAATCAATTAATCAGTACACACCAACAAAAGCAAACAGGATGGGGTCGAGTTAAAAATCCATTATATTGGTGGCACGGCTTAACGGTGCACCTGCAGTCTCTTTAGCATTTTCACATGAATGCCAGAGTTCTAAGAAACCATGAAATTATTGGACGTTAGGTCCACTTCACTCTTTTGACTTTCCGTGAAGTCTGATGTCACAAGATGCGCATGCATTCTCACAATCTTTTCTAATGAGTGATTGGCCAGATTTCCAAGGCAAATGCACCATCAACACCCCTGGCAGCGTTACAGGGCCAACAAAAGAGGTGCCTGTACACCCTAAAAATGGAACTGCAGACTATACAGTGCAATACCCCCTCAGGGCTTAAGAACTCAGAGATGAAAGACAAGCGTAGGAAAAGAAGAAAACTGGCAAATGGCACCCAAACAGTGAATGAAACAGCCTTTATCTCTTCTCTTCGTTTAGTTTCAATTTAGCCTAAATTTATTTTCCAAAATTCAGGTAATTTTATTACTCACATCCCATAGAGTTTAGGTGCTTGTTTTCTATGCACAAAGTTTCAATATCACGCATAACTTGGGCTGACTGAGGATTCAGAGTATCAGGAGGTACCAGTGGCCGATGTTGGTTGCAATGTCTGAAATAGAAAACAGATTCCCATAATATAGATCAGTCACTCATAAATGAAAAATCTATGGCGGTATAAGGGATAATCTGATGGTTTAAATTGGATCAAGCAGACACTGCTTTTTGTCGAAGCCTAAGAGATGCATTTCCCAAGAGCATTGAGTTGCACAGGAGAATTTCTTCCACAGAGATAAAACCACCTTAGATATACAACTGCTCGCTTAACGATTCTCAGCTTTTAGGTTTATCATCCAGATTGATCATAGGCTTCTTGTCTATTTTTGCAGTCGCACCAGCGAAACAAAGTAATATCGGACCAGATATGGAGATGCACAAGGCATACATTTGTGGTGTCAGGATCACAATTGATCTTCCGTGCAACATGACATTCAATAATATGAATTTGCTTTTAATGCATGGTTACTCTCCAAGCAGCAATGTATGTGAACTAGACGAATCCTGACACTGCAAAACTCTCAATAAGCTTAAACGTAAGGAGTTACAGCAATGCATACTGAAAACAAACAACAATGTTAAGAAAGGAAAATGAACTTAATATTTGGTATTAAGGAAAGAGAAATGTAGAAACAACAGTTATGGTGAAATGGTTTTGCTTATTGAGCCAGACGGTGGATGAGCCGTGAGTAGGAAAATTTCTGTTCAAAAATGACACCAAACAAACGAGGTGTACCTGGGCACAACAATCTTTTCATTGCCATCTTCCAGATTTCGGGCAGAGGACCCAATGCTGATACCACACGACATCATCAAGACTGCTACCAGAGATGATCCAAGCAAAGAAAGTATCGTTAAGAGATCCGCACGTAACCAAGCTGTCAGCCGTGGATAGAACCCCTGAGAATATACAAAAGGAAAGAAAAAAAAATTATTGAAATTAGCCATAGCTTTGGATACAAACATTCATTATTGATATTGTAAAAAAAGAAATGAAAATATACCTGATAGAAAAATGACTTGCCGGTGGAAATATGTATTATGACTTTGACGGTCTCAATGTTGCTTTTCCATAACAACGATGGCAGGGTGCACAACGCGCGGTACGCGCTAGGCAACAGCCGCGCCAGAGTTATAAAGTATGCTGAATTTCTGCAATATATGCAGGTTAGTGAGATGCAGCTACTGGATGGGCCAGAATACTTCAACCCAAATCAATTTCATTATAATAATTACTTTTATAGAGCTTATACATAATTTATTATGGCTGAGGCATTACTGTGTGAAAATTCACACCCCACAAACCCCATACACTTCATTCCCTCTCAGCACTGAATAACTTAGGAACTCGAACATACCTGGGCTCCCAAAGAGAATGTTAGAAAGGCAAACAGGTTATGTTTGGGTCGTTTATCAAAGTCAGAAGTGTGCTCTTTGGAATCAAAAGCAAAATAAAAGTGAATCCTAATTTGAGGCGGAAAAAAGTTAGAATAAACTGATTGTTTCATCAGCCCATAATTATTCTGGTCTGGTTGATGGAAAGATTTCAACTGTCCAGATTGACATATGTTGAATTATAGCTGTTTAGAACACCATCTGAGTCCATCCCAAACCTCAAACAACCGGCGTCAAACCTTTTCACCACCTGCAACCAATATTTACCGGCATTGATCGCGTCTGCCGCCATCCGTTATTGATCCATGACATAAAGTTTTGCAGGTTAGTGGCGAAATTGATTTTGCTAAAGATACCTGATTACACCAATACCACGCCATTTTATTGCTCAAGGGATCAATCATTAAGCGAACGAATCAGCCAAAAGGAAGCTTCAAAAGGCGGAAAGAGGGAACTGTTCGCATATTCACCACGCCATTTTATTGCCTCAGGATCAATCATTAGTTTTGAACTGTACCAAAAGGAAGCTCAAGCATGGAAAGCAGGAGGAACGGACTTTCTAGGAACAGTAAATCCGAGGAACACATTACAGTAAGAAACAGTTATAAAATGGAAATGATCCTTGAAGTTAAAATGGACATTGTCCAAGTGTTGAACAAGTACCGAGGAAAATTGAGGCTTGATCCGAAATCAAATCCTGACCTATGCGTTTGATCGGATGCAATCGTTTAACCATTAAACTTATCAAGCCAACTGGAGAGCGGGCCATTGAGGGCTAGCGTACCCAAAGGTGGAAGTAACATGAATGTAAATAATTGAGCTTACATGAACTAACAATCTTTTTGGAAATGTGGATATAGATAAGTAGAAATGATCCTCGCAGTAAAAATAAATTACCCATACGGTTGAAAAGAACTGTACAGAAAATTCAGAATAGGAGGTACTTGTATATTTCTGGTATGATTTTCATATAAGTTTTGCAGAGTCGCTTTGTCATCAAATATTGAAAATTAATTTTATATTGCTTCATGCATCTACATATGCATAATTCAATGTTGCTGCTATTGAAGAAAAAGTTTTTTATCTGAGTGGAAACAAGCAAGATTTGTGTTTTGCTAGAGCGCCAAACTTTGTGGAAAGAGAGTAGTGGACTTGTTGTAGCCTTATTATCTGTTTTTCCCTTTCTTGCACTAATTTCTTAAAACTCTGTATTTTCTATTTACCTAAAGAACTTTTGGTATTGATCCTGTAAAAAATACATTTCTAATTGTCATAATAATAAATAGGTAGGAATATTGTAAAAAAATTGTTTCTAGTTCTTATTGCTGTCACTTGTAGAACATGGCGATGAATTCTTGGCTTTCCCGGCTTCTGGTTTTCTGGCCGGGAAAGCCATGAAATGCCGGCCTATTTTTTAGTGTGGCCGGAAAAGCCAGACTTCTATGGCCAGGCTTACCTCAAAACCTTGGGCTTGAACGGGCTTACCAGACTTTTCCAGGTCACACTTTCCTGGCAAGCCTGCCCATGGCCGGGCTTGGCCAGGCTTGCCATGCCTTTGACTGCGCTCCTGATGCAAGGGCGGGCCTTTTAAGCTCAAAATTATTTTCAAATACAAATTCTCTAGACTGATCTCCATACATTTTGTTAAGGCGTTAGTTGAGAGAATTTGATAAATGATCAAAGCATTTCTCTTTAAAGTGATCATTTTACTAATTCTCATAACCTTCTCTTGATAATACATTAATTTTGTTGGTAAAAGATTGTTGTTGGTCACTCTTAGTTTTTATTTATTAATAAATAACAATTATGTAATTTACAACTGATTGTAACTTCTAGGTGCCCAGTTGCATGTATGGAAGGCAATGAAATTTACAGTGTAGTTTACCTTTTTCCTTTATTTTTTATCATAGTGTTCTAACGTGGAGCGGCAGCATGCTGTTATAGAACACAATGAGGCACAGGGTTGGTTTGTGGTTCAAGATCAAACTCAGCGCATGATACTTATGTAAATGATTGTCGTGTACAGAATGCAGCTGTGAGACTTGGCTCCAGTGATGTAATAAGGTTTGGATTTGGTATCCTTTTAAAAATGACAACAACAGTAAAAGAAAGTGTGTGGTCAGTGTAGTCCTAATTAATGCCCCAATATGACTCAGCTGTTGACAGTGACTGACGTTTCGACAACCTTAAGTCATAGTCAGAGTCAAAGTGAGTTGTATCTTTTCAGTTGATGATATTTGATATTTTGCTTGATATAGTTAAATGAATTAACAATGCATACCTAATGTATTTGACTACAAAACTTCCTTAACATGCGTACAACTAAACAGGAAATGCAGGTTTTGAATTTCTTGTTGATTCATCCTCAACACTTCATTACCCATCCTGGGTCTGTCTAAGCCATGAAAATCATACAGACTCCGTGTTCTGTCTTCACCAATGGCAACGTCACAGTCGGTTGGAGTCACCTCCCTTCCTTATATCAACACTGTGAAGCCAGTGAGTACTGATGTTGTACCACTGTATACAAGCACTGAACCAGTCAGTTTGCCTGGAACTGGTGGCTCAGTGTCAGAAATAAGAGGCCCATCTGATCCAAAGGTTAGTAAGTTTTTCTGAATGGCAGTGTGCAAAGAAAGTCATGTCTGATAACTTGGGGCTAGTGGATTGTGTGATTGGGGCTAGTGAATTCTGTTCTTAATTTGCCTGACAGGCAAGTGAAGATTTTTGGTGAAATTGAAATTAAAAGATACTAAGGTAGATTATTCAGTCAGAGGCTTGAAAGAAGCAACCCAGTACTCCCATTGGGAGTCAAACCTATGACCTTGTGGTTACTAGTTCAGATGCTCTACTACTAAGCTACATGAGACTCTTGTGAGCTAAGGCTACTAAACTAGGTTCATGTGACAAACATATTCAATATCATGTGACTAGAATAATATTGATATGTGATAGAAATGTGATGGCGAATTCGAGGCCTGGTATGTATGGTACAGGTCAAAATTAAATTCAGGTAAATGGTTGATTCTCAGATATTAGAGCTGGGAGACAAAAAAATTGAGAACCAACCTAGCTTGAAAAATTTTAACCTGAATTTAATTTTGACCTGTATCAAATATACGAGAAAGGTGTTTATTCACTCAGTGACACAGGCAGCTCTGAAAAAAAATCTGAGTGCTTCCAATAGGAGTAGAACTATGACCTTCTGGTTACCAGACCAATATTCTCCATAAGTCCACTAAACTAGGTTCTCCCACAAATCTTATTAGCTCTGTGACAGAATTTGCTTTTTGTAGTGTGGTTGTTTTTCAGGCAAATGTTATGCCACACCCTCCTCTGAGATCTCGCCCAACAAGTGCTGGTGCTACCAGGACGCGACCCAGCTCTACCGGCAGAGAAAGGATACCTGGTCCTCCTGTTGCTAGAGGTAACTATCATCATCATCGACATTATCATCATTATTATCATCCGGCCTTTTCAGTTGGAATGCTGTGAATAATTATCTTATTCCATGCATTCCAGTCTGACATCGTGCTCGCAAGGTCCTCCCTGTTAATTCTGGAATTTTTCAAGATCAGATCGGTGAATGAACACGGCCACTTAATTTTTTTCCGTAGAAGAAGGGATTGAATGATCGCCCCCTAAAACTATAATATACAATATTACATGATGGTGCAAAATAAAGGGGAAAGAAGTAAATAAAAAAAATGTTTAAGTGAAGGTGAGCAGCCAAAGAAGAATATTACATTTCCGTTAGCAAGAAGTTTAAGGTGATAAGTCCAAAAGTAAGAAATGAGAGGAAATGGGGTTTTCAGGAGAATGTTCACCAAAAACGGTACACTGCCCTGTATACTATTTAGGAGTAGACTAATCAAGTTGGACATTTTTTATTAAAAGTGAATTTCTGAATATGACTGGACTAGTCTGGCTGGTCTGCAGTTCTGATGGAGTTAAATTTACAAAGATTTGTTTATTTTGTTGCTTATATGCTTCATTTGCAGTGGATTTTCATGGTTTATTTAAGACCATTTTTAAAATGAAATCCTTGCAGCAATTTTTTGGTGGCTTTTACGACATTTTACCTCATTCTCATATGAATGTGAGAATTTTGACAAAAAAACATAGCATGGAATAATGACAATTACATGTATGCAGTAGTATTAGTAGTCACCAGAGATTGAAATCAAACTGCTTATGTTTCTTTAAAATTGTATGCTAACATCAAGGGCGCTGTAAAATCTCTGTGATACTTTCCTCTAAAGCATTCATAGGCGGGAGAGGACAGGGGTTAGGGAGCTCAGAAGGATAGGCAGCAGGAGGGATATGGTTGGGGGGGGATAGGGAGCACGAAGGATAGGCAGCAGGGAGGGATATGAGGGGGGGGGTAGGGAGCACAGAAGGATAGGCTGCAGGAGGGATGTGAGTGAGAAGGGGGGGTAGGGAGCCCAGAAGGATAGGCAGCAGGAGTGATATGAGTTGGGGGGGTAGGGAGCACAGAAGAATAGGCTGCGGGAGGGATGTGAGTGAGAAGGGGGGTAGGGAGCCCAGAAGGATAGGCAGCAGAAGGGATATGAGTGGGGGGGGGGGGTAGGGAGCCCAAAAGGATAGGCTGTAGGAGGGATATGAGTGGTCGGAGTTCTAAAAGTGCTGGAAGCCAGAGCTTGCGTGTAATATTTTGCAATTGAAAAAAGTCTAAAGGGAGGAAGCCCGGTACTCCCTTTTAAAAGCCATATAGGTATGTACTGCCTCAAAGGGGAGGGTTATTGGGCCGTTTCAGTCTGAAAAGGGGTATTGACTTTGCACATTTTGGTCTGGCATCAAGAATAATGGTTTTCAAGGGAACTACAGGGGTATATGAACATGTTTGTCATTTCAGTTACAAATGAACAAGAAAGCAAGATAATATGCGAATTTGAAGTGGATTTTAAACAAATCTAAGTAATTTTAGGTCTGAAAACGGGTCTGGCTTTTGGAGAGGAGGTCTGAAAATGGGTGTGGACAATGAAATTTTTTGGTCAGAAATAGCGTTAGGATCCTCACCAAGATTTCCCAAAAATACCCCACCGGGGGAGGAAGGCAAGAAAAAAGGGGCAGGGGCCAGTAATGCAAGGTATGGGAGGTAGGAAGTTTACACCCCCTCCTGTCCCCCCTGATAATAATACTGAGACTTTCATGTGAATTGTCTCCTTAATTTACAGGTGGATGGATTAATGGTCCAGTGCAGATAACAGGGGAGCAAAGCATTGAAGATCTGGTAAGCTTCTTTGAGCTGCAGTGAAATTTGTTGTCTCAAAACCTTCTTTTAGTGGAGGGTTGATGGTATGTAAGCTGGGGAGCCAAGCCGGGGGGGGTACTCCCTATGATGACCTATGCGGGGAGGCTCAGCCCAAAAGGGGTTTGTTGTTCAGGCTTCAGGTATATAAAAGGTAGGGATTTCACTGGTTAAAGTGTATAAAAGGGTAGGGGTAATCTGTCATTTGGGTCTGTGAATGGGCCCAAAAGATCTAACAGATGAATTTTATGGCTTTATGAAGTCGACAAAACGTTCTGTTTTTGTGATTGATACCTATTCAAAAGACAGTGCAGTTGAAAGGGGTGCAAGCATCTAAACAAGGTACATGCGAAAGCGGTACCATTTGTCAATAGAGGGTATACGAAAGGGGTACCTTTTTCGTGAAAAATAGTACATAAAAAGGTAAGGGGTTGGACCTCGGAGTAGAGCCTCCCTGTATATACATTCGTTCAGTACCTTCCCGCCCCGGAAGCCAAGTCCTTGTGTGGAGCTATGAGGTATTTGGAACGGTTTTTGGGGAGGGCGCGGATGCCACAGAAATATTATGCTGCCTGGTAGGCTCATTTATCGTTTAAAATTGTCTCACAAAAGTCTTTGTCATTGATTGCTTTGTTTAAAATTTAAAATTCGTTTAAAATTGTCTCACAGAAGTCTTTTCCATCGACTGCATACTGCTGGTCACTCAGGTGATGGTGTTGAGTTAGGACCCTGAATAATGTTAGTAATGTATATCGTAATTGCTTCAGCTTGGTGCATTATGGAAGCCGCAATGCATGCTGAATATTTTTCAATACAATGGTTCAGCAAGGATCTTTTCTGACCTTGAAATTTATCACTTTTTGCATCGTATAGGGTTCTCAATTGTAATGTAAAAACAATTGAATAAATTTTGTCTGCTTACTTTTCCGACCAAATACCCTTGGAACTTGTTGTGTCACAACTTACCAAATCTTATCCTTATCTTGACTATCTTGTGTCACAGTTTGTTTTGTTTTTGTTTTTATTTTTATTTTCTCCAGGACGAACGTCTGTGACGCATGGGTGATGAACTCAGCCGACTAGCTTCATACGAAGCAGAGTGTCATCGTAAAGATGGCGTCATTGCAGCTCTGAGAGATGAGGTTGTTGATCTGAAAGGAGCTCAGCAGTCAAGTGGCAGTTTCAGGTACATTTGCTCTTGTTAGTGTCCACTTAAGACAGTGGTTAGCTTGTTCCAGGCTCCGAGATGGTTGGGTCCGTGAGAAAGCGCGAACACGAAAATAAAACTGAAAAAAAAACCGTTTTCCAATTATGCGCTCATATTTCGCGTGCCTTTCACTTATGCGTCATCCCTACTATCTGAGAGCCTGGAACAGGTTAGACAGTGAGTGATCCGCCTTCATGATGAAGGTTTTCCTTTAATGAAAAACAAGCCCGTTTGCGGTTTTTAATAAATATTTTATTGCAGTTTGTTCTGAATAACCTTTAGAAATTCGTTGAAAATGTACATCAGAAACCATGGTCGTGATATCTTGTCAGGTTGAAAGTGGTTCTTTGCATGCAGTTAGTGAGGTAACTGACAACTGATTCAACTTGGCAATAAAAAAAGACCAAAAACAGCTTACGTTCCTTATGTCGAATTGGTATCCGCATTTGACATGCAGTGACGCATACCTTAACGGTACATCTTTTGTTTCCAATTCGAATTCAAGTGTGTCGATCTAGTCAAGACGATAAAGTGACTGGTTTTGAGTAAATAGAAATTGCCTTTTAGAGTCCTTCTTTAAAGATGTTTTACTCGCATTGAAACGCGGTTTCTATTATAACAGAAAACACTATTCCTATAGGCTGCGTATAGCAAACGTTTCTGTGCGGTTTAGGAGCAAAGAACGAGGAACGAGAGTCAAACTGACCGCGCGACAAATGGCGCAAGTATTAGAGCCATTTCTCGCTCGGTCAAAACCGAAAATCCCCTTCCTCTGTCTTTCTTTGCTCCGAAACCTAACGGAAACGCTTGCTACGCAGGCTACTATTCCTACCACGCAGACTACTACCTT